AACAAAAGAGCAAAAAATAAAGAAAGACCAACACCAGTATACAAAGAGAAGAAGTTTAATATGAGGATTTATCGTTCCATTGAAGTTAGCAAGTGACCGTAGTATAATCAAGGCACAATTATTGCGTAATGGAATCCACCTTGACGTAAAAAAACGCAATAATATCAAGTCAAAATTATTTTCTTCTCTCTCTCTCTCTCTCTCTCCCCCCCCCCCATTTATTTATCGCTCTCTTCCTATCTCTCTTGTAAGGGCAATTACTTAATCGAAACCGAAGCTGATCGTAAAAAAATCTGCCATTAAGGCAACGTTTGGACGACCTCTCAATCAACCTCTCTCTCTTCCTATCTCTCTTATAAGACCGATCAACTTCCTTCATTGGAACGATACTCTTGCAGCACCTTACGAACAGAAACTTATTGCGACACTTTGCGACTATACTCCTCAAAAGTTCCGAATCGATCTTGTCCTTGCCGATTGTAATCGAGATGAATAGCAGCATCAATACATCTCCAAGTGTTAATGCTCGTATTCAACTCCGCTGCTGCTTCCACAATATCTTGCACCCTGTGAGAACTGTCAAGATAGGACAGGTGTGCAAGTGTCTTTTTGGGACCAATAGATTCAAGAGAGTCATAAATGGTAATGTTAAAATTAGAAGAACTTGGTTGTTCCAAGGGTCCTGTATGGACATGCAAATGGTCTCTTGATGACGTAAGAGCGTGCACAACACAACTGACAGGAGACAGAGTAGCCATAGCGGCCGGCGAAGCAGAAACAACAACAGATGTAGTGACAATTGACGTTGACATATTGGATGGTGGAGCATAATCCGCAAGACGTTGAAAATTTGGAGGAGATGCTTCTTGAAAAGGGAGTCTACGGACCGGAGCGGAATGAGGAGCGCAACAAGCAACCATATGAGGAATCCTTTTCAAAAGGTGCTGTATCCGTGCATATCTGTGAAATGGTTGGGGAATGATCCCTTCTGTCGGACAATGTGGCAAATCAAATGTCATCCTAGTAATCTCCTCATTAGAGAGAGCAACATACTCATTGGTCAAAAGTGAATTCAATATGGAAGAAGCCTCCAAATCCGAAACATTCAACGGGTCTGAAGGAAGAGGGGATCGTCGTTCCAACCGCCTATCAGTGAGTTTGTTTTTTTTCCACTCGAGGAAGTTATCTTATATTTGTCCATCTTTTACGACTGCGGCACTTTTGACAAACATTTCAAAAAGCACCTCAGTCAAAACATTTTGGATCCCAACCTTCTTCACATCGTCAAACCATCTAGCAAGGGAAGCGCGCGGATTCGGAGTGCGGATTGTGGGTGCATCGTTATCATCGGGCACAAGAATAACCCCCGAAGGATTTTGTGGTTGTGATGTGGCGCAAACATCTTTTTCGCGTCCACTGCGTTGAGATTGTGAACAAGAATCACGAATACGTGCACGTCCAGCGAGCGGTGCACAAAACGGAAGAGATGCAAGTTCATTCATAGGGAGCGCATTCAGCGCATTCAAAATTTGAGTTGCCATTTCATCAACAACAGGTTGTCGTCCCACCCGATTGTCAGCAAACGTAAGCTCGAGCAATTTGGGCAAACCCAAAAGATTAGATTTTCTACCACGACTCTTTCTTCTTTTGAATGTAGAATCAACATACTCTTCTTTCGGATCACCTGTGGTGTCATCATCCTCGTCACTGGGAAATGTAAGGTTATTAGGCTCACCCGACAGACCTCTACGCAAATCATCCCCATCAGCACAGTTGTCACCACCCTCCTCCACAACCATCTTCTCAGTATTAGGAAGGGTGTTGCCTTGCGAACATTGATGTTCAACTTCAGCAAGAGCATCACGATCGTCCCGAGAACGCTCACTTCCAAGATTCACCGACCTCTCATCATTTCCACTCTTTTTCGACCTCTCTGAATGTTCGGCTCCAGCTTTCGATGTAACATTCATATCATATTGAGTGATATTGTTGGTTGTCATTGCTTTCCTCTTAGCATGAGTGTCGTAATTATGTGGCATTCGGGAGTCGTCTGCAAAGAAAGAATATGACGGAATTATTTGGAATGCGAAGGCTCGACGGAAAAAAAAAAAAAAAAAAAAAAGACTCACCCCAAAAGTTCATGATATACAATATTCTTCGTAAAAAAATTCTTATCAGGCAATGCACACACAGATGTTGTTGGGATGACCAACACGCGACAAAGCAACGTACAGTTAGCCATGCGCAAAACCGGTTTCCGTAGCCAAACCCCGACATGCGATACAGTTTGTCCTTGCGACTTGTTAATCGTGACAGCAAAAGCAAGACGGATTGGAAATTGCCGCCTAAACCATTTGAGCCCCGTGGTCTCACCATCGTTTGTCAAATCAATCTTGGGGATCAGTGTTGTCTTACCCATGTGCATTATTGTCACTTCCAACAAATCATCATTAACGATCTTCTTCAGAATCAGCCTTGTACCATTGCAAAGTCCTTGCTTCGGTGACAAATTTCGCAAAAGCATCACAGGTGCACCAATTTTTAAGCGCAACTTGTGAGGTGGAAGGTCAGATTCATCGAGAGAGTTTAAAAACCCACGCTCAATACTGAGTCCGATATCATCCTAATCAGGACAATCAACACTAAGGTCACGCACCTTCCCAGAAAAGTCGTCAAGAACACGGTTGTTAACAGAAGCGGCATCGTCATTTGTAGGACATAGAATTAACAGAGGCAAGAAATAATCGGCACCCCCCACATGGTTGGACACATCATCAAACGTCCATGAAATCAACTCATCAATCGGTTTATCCGTACAAATCTCACGTGGCAATCTGACCGCAGCAGGTTCATTAGGAACAACACAAAGATGGTCACCATTCCCAATACGCATCAAAAAGTGGTTATACATTCGTGCCATTTCATCATTGCCCAAACTTAAGATTCGCATGTTTTCGGTCAGTTGATGAACCTCAAAAAGTTTCTACAAAGGAGACATTTCATGAATGCATCAATTTGTTGCGCTCGCGATCCGTGTTTCACAACCGGCAAACCTGTCTAAAATCCCCAGCGAGAAATAAAACTTTCCCACCAAACGGCTCGTTACTGTTACAGAGGTTTCGAAGCGTAATATCAAGAGTTTCCAAGTGGAACTTGTTACTCGTCGGAGCCTCATCCCAAACAATCAAGTCGGTACGGCGGATAAGCTCCGCAAGATCACTTTGTTTCGGAATCAAGAAGGGACGCGTGTTAGCAGGTTTCAAAGGTGCGCGAAATCGTGAGTGAAACGTTCGACCCCCCGTCAAAAGAGTCGCCGCTATGTCACTGGACGCGACGACAAGTGTAATGGCAGAACGCAACCTGATGCCCACCAAAATCGTTTCAATGCAAAAAGTATTTTCTGTTCCAATCGGTGCATCGACAAAAGCACGCAACGGTCTTTTCTCTTGCACAGCCCGAACGACTCTTTCCACCAACACTCGTTGACGTGGACGAAGACGTCGAAAATTAAAGTCATATCTGCGTTGCATTAGAATAGGATCATACGACAACTCGTCATTTAGAATCGAGGATACCGTTCTGTTCTCGTAATGTCTCGTTATGTTCTCAACAATTGTTTCTCCATCGGGTGTTGGATAATAAAGGCAAAACTGACGGATGTTTTTTCCAGACTCTTGCAAAATACGGTCAAGATGGAATAACACTAACGACTGCAAAATGTTTGGGGGAACAATTTCATTGCCTGCGCGATACTGAAAATCATTGCACATCTTATCCCAATGTCGTTCGAAGAAACGGACAGGATCGTTCCTCGGACCAAACGGGAGAACCATAGCAAATATTTTACGAACTTCTTCAGGCATGTAATGCGCAATGGTTGTGGCTATGCATTGATTGTATGCATCGTCTGTTTGCAAAAGGTCAAATTGAAGACACACGGATCGGAAAGAATCATATTCGACTCCGTCCACCGTATGAATTTCAGCAAAAGAGCGCACCCCACGGGAATGTTCGTGGTTTAGTAACACGCGCAGATAGAATCGTTCCCCTTCGTTGATCCTCACGTGATGCAACCGAGATATCTTTTCGAAGGGACCACCGTGAAGATCACGTTTTTTTCGATTCCACGTCTTATGTTTGTTATCCCATACGTAAGTATTAACGATTTCTGCGTAAAGAGGAAGCTCCTCTTTAGGAACACCTTCATTCAAAGAGTTGTGTTTCATCCATGCCGTCAATTTCGTTTTCGGCCGTTCATGCGAAACAACCTTATGCTCAGTGTCGGGTTCGAATTGCACTTTTTGCATGTTTTCGAGATGCACGGGCAATCTTTCCACCGCGGGCCATTGTTTCGCAACGTCAAAACTCAAATAGACGTCAGCACGCCTCGCATGCACCTACAACACGCATATCTTGATACAATTTAACTTCGTCGATGGACGCATTATTATCCTGCTCGCAAATCATAGCACAATCGCACCCTTTGTACACGTACTTATACACGTACTTGCACGCCTTGATGTTAGCATAATATTCAACATTCAAGTGACATTTAAACCTCATTAGCAAGTACGGGTTATACGGGACCACACGACGATTGTCGTAAACGACACCATTTTGAACAATCGTTAAAACCATCGTCACTTGGTTTCCTTCTCCTATACAAAGGGTACGTTTGTTCGTCTTTAAATGTTGTTGTGGAAATGAAGTCTTTCGGAAACCCTTTTGTGCATTCTCCGTCCTCCGTACACGAAGCGTCGCGTTTCTCCACACCGCAAATCCCGTGCAACATGAACTTGGCTACCTTTTCTCTCAATTCCCTTTCCGAAGGAATCTCGACAAACACCACATTGTCAACAGCATCCGCATCCCGAATTTTATCATCCGGATGCAGGATAACCAATATATGTGCGTGTGGTAGACCCCTTTTCTGAAACTCCACCACATACAACATTCCACTCACCCTACCAAAGATCCGTTTGTTCTTTATCTCATTAATCAGCTGTGCAAGATAACCTTTGAACACTCGCGCGAGAAGATCCGGCCTGTCGTTAGGACATTGACCTGGCAACAGGGCTTGTTTGATCTCCGGCCAATTAGTGTTGCACGTCATAGTGATAAAAAGATCCGTTTTTCCGAATCGTTTCACAATTGCCATGCTGTCGTGATATCTTCCACTCATATTTTGGGGCCCCCCAGTAAACATTGACGGTAAAACCACTTTTGTCCCAATACCGTCACCACGTTGATTTTGTTGTACAGTGTCTCGTAAATCCTGATAATAATATGAGCGCAATTCTTTTTGATGGAATCTCACTCATTTTAAACGGAGGGATTCAACTTTAGCGTACGCCATGCAACAAAACTCGTGGAAGAGACGTGTTGCATAAAGGAGGCAAGGCCTTTCACCATCGCGCTCGTGAAGGTGAAATGCATAGTACTCCTTGGCACTAAGTCCTGGCGGCCATCCAGCCTCCGAGGCACGTCGGACAGATCAACTATCAATTCCCTCCGGGAAAAGTAAAACAAACCTTAAGTAGTCGTGCGCTCGAGAACATTCCGGAACCACAACTGTCTGCTGCTCACCAGGAAGAGGAGCACGCAAACGAATCTCGAGCTCACGAGAAAGGAGTTCATCGGTCATCGGCAAACTGAGGACGTTCCCCTTCCCCGACAGCCAATGCACCGATACGATGAAAGATTGGACCTTGAGCCCGAAGTTGACCCTGGAATCCTTGAACACCATCGCTCGGCTGCTTCAACCGTGAGGATGCGAGGGATAAACTATCATTAATTATCCTCGCACTGTTTCGAAGGAATCGGTCGTCGGAACTTTGATACGTCCAAAGGGAAAAAATTTCATGCTCCGGGAAGCTTTCACAAGGCCATTCCCATAAAGGACAACGTTTTGTACCTTTTCGGTAACACATCTTTGTCCATTTTGTTTCATGATGCCACAATTTAGCACCACAATGCTTACACGGATCTCGACCGCCAATGCCGAACGGTTCAACAGTGCTAGGATTCTCAAAAATCGCAACGGTGTTCTCAACCGCCGCATACGTTGTTGTCACGGGTGCAAATGGGAATTGAATTTCGATTTCTCACGGATGGATTGTGCGATTGTCTCGCTCGCGATGACAGACTTCGCGAGTGCCTCACCCGAAAAGATCGACTCTGCGATTGTCTCGCAGGAGAAGATGCATTCCTCGATTGCGGAGAGGCGCTCGCTCGAATCTCTCGAAGAATATTCACAGCGAACAAACTTCGCCTCACACCCCGCATAAAATCTTTATGAACACACACATCTTCTTTCCTTCTATGATTCTTAACCGCAGCTCTCAATGCACGCATCCGTTTAACATGAAAGTTTGATCGTTTTGTCTGGTCTTACCTTAAATTATACACGACGTAAAACATGTTTCATTCACATTCATTCTATCAACTTGTTTCGTTCTTCCACCAGCCTCTATAGTACTTCAACAACTATTGCACTTCCATCATAGCCCGATGACACACGGTGAGGCATCGACGACAACGATCCAAGTTCCAAACGACGCACGACTTTATTCGCACGGAGCCGTCGGATCAACAACATACGGTACCGTCGGTTGTGCCTTGAACGAATCGGTTTCCGTAATAATAATATTTTATGTCGATTATGAAATTGAACAGTGTTCGGTGAATTCGGTGAGGTTGTGGCAGCAGAACATACATTTGCATGAACATCCGTCAAGGGAGGACAAACGTTACTCTCCACAAATCTTTGTTAGACATCGGCAGTCAATGTCGACGATGAACAATTGTGCACATGTGCGGAGTGCGAGAGAAAATTATCGAGTAAAACGGATCTTTCGACAATTGAAACGGAATCTGCATTTATTGCAATATCCGTACGAATTTCAAGCGAACGTTCACTTTGCAAGGTCATAGAGAGATTTTCAGGACAGCTAATGTGATCCGTACCAACATTAATATTTCCTTGACTCGTTCTTTTGAAAAACACAGGGCTTGTGAAATCATTCATCGATGGAATCGATTGGTGAAAAGATAGAGACTTATCACTGCATTGTTCCTCAGTAGACAATCAAGACCAGAATCTTAAATTACCACCGGTTGTTTCTCTCTCCTGCGAGCAGTCGGCTCACCTACAGCACCTACCGCCTGTAGGAAAGACCTCCGGGTTCGACGACTTTGGGAAGGTGGTCGTCCGCGTTTGCGGTGTTCGTGTTGTGATGGCATCGCTGTATCACTCGTAGAGCGACAGGGAGTAACATCCGAACCTATACGCAGTCCCAATCTATGGTTGGATGAGGAAGAAGGGCCCTCGAACGAAGACAAACCGACTTGACCTGGAACAATGGCAGGACACTGAGTACACTCTGATACTAACGGCGAGGACACCAAAGGATCATTAACAACCCTTTCAAAAGGTCGATGGCGTTTGCGACGCCTCCACGGAACATGCAATGACTTATCCACAGATGAAGAGAAGGTTGGAACGTTGGATAGATTACTGTTGGTTGAACCGTCACGTGGATCTCAGTCGTCTGCCATATTAATGGGCACGTACGTACGTATTTGTACATGGGCATGTCACGACAGATAGGAGGAATAAGATGCATATAAACAACCGCAACGAAAAGAAAACACCTCAAAACATCCATATATAGATGTAATTATATGAAGAAGAGTAATAGTGTCAAGTAGAAAAGAAAAGAATACAGAAAAAACAAAGAAGACGCAGTGCAACACACCAGAAATGCGAAGCACAGAAGGTCAAAGAAAATAAGGAGTCAGTTCGTTTTTTTTTTGTTTTTTAGCACGCTATCAAGCTTAATCAATGTGAATAATTCATATCGAAATTTCTTTGTTCGTGCAAATATAGATGTATAGGTCCACTTTAATGTTTGTGCAAACGTTTAATTGGGACCGAAACCTCTTTGGACTCCTATTGAGGTTAATTAAGACGCCTCTTATTTTGTTCCTATGCCTCATTCAGTTCTTATGTTCGATCTGTGATCCTATACACCCCTCAGTCTTTTCAGGGCCCCATGCGATAAAGTCATACATACCTCGTTTGTCCATATTTGCCCTTTGTCATTCTCTGGTAGGGCTCACATTCCTGTTCGGATAAATTTGTCACTGGGATCGAAACTTCTTTTGGTTTCAATCCACCTTAATTGAGGTGGCTCCTACTTGAGGCCAGGCTTAGGTATCCTAAGTCAGCCATCCGTCCACAAAAGATTTGAAGAAGGTAAAATGTCTTCGCCGACCTTTTGGAACACCAATCGCTAGGAAGTAGTCTGTGGTACCCATTCTCCTCACCTGAGCACGAGGCCAAGATCTCAGAAGTAGGCGTTGGCTCCACCACAACAACATTGCACCACCCCCATAAATGGGTCTATGCGGCATGCCGCACCTCTCCCCAGCCAGCCTCGAAGGTCGCGGTTCCAGGAAGAGTCATTCCTAGCGATCGAGGTCGGGCAAACCGTTAATGGCATCCCCTTCTTCTCCTCTTTTGCTTGGGCGACTTTGATGAGATAGGAGCAAAGGGGGTAGAGAACAGGACTTTTTGAAACGGGGTTAGGTGAGAGGAGGTCATTCGGGATACCACGGGAGCCTTGGGAAAAACACTACGTTTATTATCAGCTTTAATCCTTCTTATCGGATTGTTTCCTTCTCCAATATTCATTAGAAATACGTAGTCTGACCCAACCCTCCCAATAAGACTTAATTTTCTTAACATAAGCGCTTTAGTATTTTTAGCGCCCCACGTAGCACACTCATACGTACCTTGTTTATTCTTAAGCATCGTTTGCCTTCCTTCGAGACCGTCTGCAGGAAGAGGACTCAAACTTATTGTTCCGTTTTCTTTTATGATTGAGATTTTTTTGTCCTAATTATTCATCAACTTTACAACCTCTCTCCGTATATTTTTTCTTTCTTTCAATCTTCTTATTGATTTTAATCGGTCTTTAATATTATCCCATGTCCATACTTTAAAGGATACTCACCTGGTTGTTTTTTCTGGAATAAGTAGAACAGTATAAGAGCGAACACAGAGAACAGAACAATATTGAAAAAAAAAATTAAAAAAATGTTAGTCTCTAAAGAAAAACATAATCTCCATACACATACAACATGAGATAACATATGAACAAATGACTAAAGCAACCTTTATTTTTATCCATCAACAATATTTTCATGCAAATGTAAATAATAGTTGTCAAAGAGGGAATGTCGAAACAAATAGAAGAGAGAGAGAGAGAGAGAGAGAGAGAGAGAGAGAGAGAGAGAGAGAGAGAGAGAGAGAGAGAGAGAGAGAAAAAAAAAAAAAAAGACAGAGAGAGAAAAAACTCAAATAAAAGTGTCAAAAGATATAAAATTTAAGCATTTTATCATAAACCCATTCAAGTGTCATCATCATCAATNAGAGAGAGAGAGAGAGAGAGAGAGAGAGAGAGAGAGAGAGAGAGAGAGAGAGAGAGAGAGAGAGAGAAAAAAAAAAACAAAGACAGAGAGAGAAAAAACTCAAATAAAAGTGTCAAAAGATATAAAATTTAAGCATTTTATCATAAACCCATTCAAGTGTCATCATCATCAATGAAATGAATAAATGTGAAAGCACGCATTCCTGCTCGTCATTCCACCCCACGTCCCCGTTCTCCCTCCCACTGCAGCTCCTCCCTCTCCTACCGTTCTCACTCGAACACCAGCTAATGCATATGCGACCACAAAGAAAAATCACACTATTCATCTACATCGTCCTGCACACGAAGCTGTCTTCTCCTTTCTTCCATTGCAAACTTCTTGTCATCATCAACAACAGCATCTCCATGGGGATAAAGGTTTGTCGTGTTGTCACACGTAGCTGTAACAACCGTCAAATCATTTATCTTTCTATAGTCCCCCTTTGTTAAATGGCTTAAGCGGCCACACTTTGGACATCGACGCCTCAGAGCTTCAAGCAATGCAAGCACCACCTCATGCAATCTGGTCTCATGCTTTTTATTTATGCTCGCGAGAGCATTCAATTCTTTTTTTACATGACCCATCTCCTTCATAACCCGCATTGGCGAATGAGCACCAATGATATTTGCTAATAAAATTATGAGGTTATACAACTGTTCCTTGTAACTCGCCATCATGCCATTCATTAGTCCATCACCACACTGATCCGAGAAACTATGTTGAAACACAGCGTCCATTAACTCTTCTCGTGCGTCCTTGTACAATTGTCCGAGAGTAACACCTCCAAAAGAGCATTTCTATGTGCAAGCTCCACACCAACTGTTCGCAATGATTGCAACATACCAATCAAACAACTTTTCGGAAGCTCTTCTAAAGTTCGACGTAATGGAAGCTCAAACACCTTTGATGCAAAAGAAGGATCAATCGATGGCAAGGCACCCGCCGACAACAATTTTCTCAATCCACTCTCGGCTGTTTCACAGCGTAGACGCAAATACTCACACTTTTGGGACACATGCGGATCAACTTTAGTACTAAGCTCAACAACTTGGTCAAGTAAGTCATTTCTAATGGAGGATTGAATTAAAGGTGTAAGTTGGCTGACAATGTCCTCGCCAACATCATCCTCTTTCTTCGCATCCACACTACCGGACAAAGAGCAATCTCTCACCTCTTCACTTCGTTTCCTTTCCAGGAAACTTTCAAGCACTGATCGTGCATTCACCTCAATTTTTGCGAATGCACTCCTCAGGCTAGTCACTTCCGCCTCCTTCTTCTTCAACATCCCAAGCAACTCGTCCTGAGTCCACCGAAGGCCTTTATTGTCTGTCATATAGCGGTTGCATTCTCTTTTCAATGCAGAATCGTTCGGAACCTTACCTGCAATACCATAAGGCACTTTAGACTCACGCTGAAGCAGCCGCTGCTCCATGTCATGAATCTGCGAAGCCATGCCATACTCGTATCGTTCACTACATTCCTCGAAGTATTTCGTTTTCGTGCGAGCATCGGCGAGCCAATTTCCAAATACACCATCTGCATCACTATGTGGCTCAATTTGCATCGGCACATTAGACCATGATATTCCTTCAACCGGCCTATCTACCTGCATGTCGACCACCACATTCATTTGAGTAGATGCTTGTCCATCTGCGGAGATCACCATGAAAAAGAAATCAACCAATTAA